GGGAGGGGAGGTGGGTGGGGGGGGCAGGAGCGAGTATCTTGATCTGTTTTGTCTGCAGGCCTGACTTTTTCATTGAACTATGTGGCAACGACTCTTCGCGGTTGAAATAGTACGAGGTGCTTCGGAGTAGAAAAAACACATAGTCCAAATCCAATTGGGTACGACCATTAGAATATCTGTGGCCGTTCTTCGGGGGCTACTCTCTCTTACGCAAATCCGTGATCCGCTCCTGTACTCGTGCACGGTTAGGGTTTCTCTAATCATTTACATTTCTCTTTGTCGGCACGAAGAAATGATTGGTAGCATACCGCTGATTGGTAGAGAGCGTGGGAGAGAGAGAAGGGGTAGGGAGAAAGAGCGGGGAGGAGAGAGAGAGAAGGGGTAGGGAGAAAGAGCGGGGAGGAGAGAGAGAGAGGAGGGGTAGGGAGAAAGAGCGGGGAGGATTGAGAGGATAGGGAGAAAGAGCTGGGAGGAAAGAGGGAAAGGGTGGCGAGAAAGAGCGGGGGGAGAGGGTAGGGAGAAAGAGCTGGGAGGAAAGAGGGAAAGGGTGGGGAGAAAGAGCGGGGAGAGATGGTAGGGAGAAAGAGGGAAAGGGTAAGGAGAAAGAGCGGGCGGAGAGGGTAGGGAGAAAGAGCGTGGAGCAAAGCGGGAAAGGGTAGGGAGAACGAGCGGGGAGGAAACAGGGAAAGGGTGGGGAGAAAGAGCGGGGAGGAGAGAGAGGGAGGGTAGGGAGAAAGAGCAGGGAGGAGAGAGAGAGAAGTGGTAGGGAGAAAGAGCGGGGAGGAATGAGAGAAGGCACACGTTCTTGTGTATGCTCGTGTTCTTGTTATAAAAGGAGAGATGGAAAAAAACAGCATGAATAAATTTTTCTAGAATAAATATTACGAGCGAAACACACTTAGTAATATTCAGAATTAAACGTAATACATTTTAATACTTGTCTTTGTATGTACATCATGATTCAAGTGTCGGGGGTACCGGATTTTGCTACTTAATGCTTACATAAATAACAGACGGTCTATTTCACATGCATTAATTAAAGTAATAGTGTAAAACTATAGTAATATTTCAACGTACATTGTACACAGGTTCGATTCTAGCGAGCTCAATCATTAAATGTTTTCTTCTTCTTCTTCTTCAATAATTAATGTTAAAGTACTACCCGCACGAACATTCGTTTGCTTCAGGTATGAACACCTGCCGTACTGCAGTTCGGTTGTCCACAATGCCTGTTATACACTTATACATGCTGTTACAAAAATTACTTTAGGGGAATCGAGGAGCGAGCGCAGCGAGACAGAGCTTGATTGAATTTCCTTTAAGAAAGCCGCCCGGTTGTGTTGGCCAATGGCCGGTATGCTAGTCAGATCGAATCGATAGGAATCACTAGCTTGAGATTACTACTTCATGCAGAATTCGTTTCGCCCACCCACGGATGGTCGCTCGGACCCTCTGTTAAGGGTTATGCGAGGGAGGCGTTGCCCGCAGTCAGGCGCTGGCTCATTGTAAGGCCTCTGGATGGTCTTTGCAGCGGGGAGTTCCCTTCACTACTGTCTCTTCTATAATCCTTCCCTTGCGCGAGACGCAAAAACACCAGCCTGAAACAATAGAGCAATGCAGCTGAGCGAGTGTCGCGCGATGTGATTGGTTGAAATAGTGAATATAAAATATGGAGAAAAAAAAGAACTATAATGAATGAATAGAATATGAAAAAAATGGCGTGGATGGAATTTCAATGGTGGTACGTGTGTCTTTACAAGACAAACTTTCTTGGCACGCCATGTTATATGAGAAACAGCGAAAGAGCCCACGCTAGTAGAACTATTCGCGATATATAGTAGCCATAATGATAGAGATATAAGCTAGTGTTGCGTATGATTGTTCGGTCAGAGTGTAATGGACGTTATACAGATTCTACTTATAACGTGTAATATTCGACACGCACCAAATTACGCCGACACGCCTACGCACGCACATACACACGCACGCATGCACGCACGCACGCAGACCTCGCTTAAACATGCGAAATGATGTGCGTTAGATGTGTCCGTGGGGGTTATAGCTTATATATATATATAGCTTATATATATATAATAGCGTAATACATGGCATACCAGTATGAATTATTACATGCAATATACATCAGGCATGCCCTCACGTCCTCGCACACACATACACGTGTGTGCGTGCGTGTGTGTGTGCGTGTGTGTGTGTGTGTGCGTGCGTGTGCGTGTGTGTGTGTGTGTGTGTTTGTGTAGAGGTTCAAACTTACATAATAATACATATTATACTGCTATAGATTATGCAAGTTGTAATATTATTGCATACAATAATCGACACGCGTGCGCGCGCTCATGCACGCGCGCACGAACGCACGCACTCGCGTACATGCGCGCGCGCACGTATATACACGTACAGGCGGAATGAATAGCAACAGGTGTGTGCGTGGAGGCTCAAGCTTATATAGTAAATTATGCAAAGTACACTTATTGCACACACGTACACGCGTGCGCACACTTACACCCACAAACGCGCACACACACGCTCACGCGCGCACACACGCTCACGGGCGCGCACACACGCACGTACACGCATACGCGAAATGAGTAATAAGTGGTCGCGTTTGCGCGCGTTCGCGTCACGGCGTGACGGACAGACGCACACGCGACGCAGACGCGGACGCAGACGCAGTCGCAGTCTCAGGCGCAGGCGCAGACGCAGACGCAGATGCAGACTCGGACGCAGACGCAATCGCAGACTTATATGCAGTCACAGACGCAGACTTAGACGCGGACGCAGACGCAGACTTAGACGCAGTCGCAGACTTATACGCAAACGCAGACGCAGACGCAGATGCAGACTTAGACGCGGACGCAGAATCGGACGCAGTCGCAGACGTAGACGCGGACGCGGACCAGACTTAGACGCGGACGTGGACGCAGACGCAGACGCGGACGCTGACGCAGACGCAGACGCGGACGCGGACGCTGACGCTGACGCAGACGCAGAACGCACTTACCGTCGTTTGAGCACTGATGTGGCATGTAGTTCCGATTGAACGGACTGCAGTTTGGCAGCCAGATGTCTTCCATGAGCACGAATGGCGCCTCGAGCACCAGCTCCCGATGCAGCTCGCACTTGGACATCTTCGACATGCCATGAAGGTCGTTGAAGTCACGCTTCTGCATCGGGTTTGCGTGCGCCAGCGCCAGTAGCGCGGCGGCGGCGAGCAGACTAACTAAGCGTGCGGTTGTGTCCACATTCATCGTGTTGTCGTTGTTGCTGTGTGCGAGCGTGTATGAGGCAGAAGGCGTACCTGGCGGTGAAGGGCTACTACCTATATCTAAATCTCCTTCAGCTTCCTCTTGCGCTGCTGCTGCTGCTGCTGGTGCTCTTAGGAGGAGAGCCTGTGATTGCCTGTGAGTGTCTGTGATTGCCGCTCCCTGGATGCGCACGCCTTATATAGCGCGCTCGCCCTAGCCGCACATGCATGAACAAACTACGTCACAGCCGGCGCAGCCAATAGATCTAGAGAGATAGCTGCAAGCCGAGAGCAGGTAGTAACGAGACTCTCGGGGAGGCACGTAATGATGAAGAAGGAGGAAGCAGATGAAACCATAAAACACGAGCCGCGTCCGAGTGTTGCGGCAAGGCGCAAGTATGATGGCCCGTGAGGCCGTTTGAATAATGCCGCATTATATATAATATATATATGTGTGCGTGTGTGTGTGCGTGCGTGCATGCGTGCGTGTGTGCGCGCACGTGCGTATGTATGTGTGTATGTGTGTGTGCGTGTGTGCGTGCGTGCGTGGTGTCTAGGCGTGCGTGCGTGCGTGCGTGCGTGCGTGTATGCGTGCGTACCTGCCTGCTTCACCTCACACGCGTCAAGCGTACGTATGCGTGTGTCATGTTATTACTGCTCCAACGACTAAGTATATATGACACCTGCGGAACATCAAAGTGTCTAGACTACATCAAGTAATTTATTTACCAACCTCTATAGCAATAAAGTTATCGAATAATACCGATATTCATGTAAGGAAAATAAGGACGTGGTGCGCGTCTATAGTTAGATGGGGAGACGCGGCCGTCGCGTCCTGTAGTTAAGATAATAGATCTTTTGTCATTGATGTAGTATTCGATGCGGTTTTCTCGTTAGCTCTTTTTTCTGAAGCTAGCTAGCCGTTAAGAATTACTTTGTTGTGAGATTGTTTCATTAGTCAAGCGGATGATAACGTTGCACTAATGATGTACCGCCGCATTTCTAATGTGCTATGTCCTATTAATTAGTGTGAAATTTGAGTCTCGGACTATATTTCACAGTAACGATTTCGATATGGGGACGTTGCTGTGGGACTTCGAACGACAGCGCGAAACAGTATGCAGATTTGATGTTTGAAGGCTGCTGAAATTGTATAATGTTGCGTGCGATTTGACTTGCTAATCTTAGATCTAAAAGAAGACGCTCATGTTCGGAAAAAGTGGGAGTTTTCTGTGTACGTAATAGATTTTGCTTGCAGCAAAGATTTTCATAATATTTTTTAAACGAATTCATGTTATTTCATCATTATAATTGCAGTATTTATAAATACTTATTAGGCCGAGACAGAGGGAAACTACACGTCATATTTTATACAGTCTGAAGGTCGCCCGAAAGTCCTATTATTTTGTAGATAATTCAAAAAAATCCCTAAAATTCAGTTTGTTGATACTGCATACCTTTGATTATAGCGCTTTTTTTAAATTATGAATCGGAAATTCCCAGCAATAAAGGTGATTAATAAACCATGTACCTACATATCGCATGTTACCGGACAATGCGTGACCTGCGCATTATGCTGGAAAACTGCTGAACGTACAACGTCGCATTTGCCAAAAATCTGCAGATTTAAAACAGAAAGTCTTGTGCATTGTTCACGTGTGTAGTCCTTCGTGTATTCTACATATGGTAGTATTACACACACGCACGCACGCAATCACGCACGCACGCACGCACGCACGCACGCACGCACACACACACACACACACACACACACACACATACACGTACACACACACACGTCTAAATATACAACATGTTCTGCTTGCATCTATGACAAATACGACATACGCATATACGCTCTTCTATGACACGATTTGTCATAGGAAGATATTCTTCCTATGACAAATATTGGCTCTTTACAGCTGAAATTCACTGCTTGCGTTCATAATAGCGCTCATAAACTCCTATGATGCGCACAACACATACAACAATATTTGTCAATCTAAAGGGAAAAAGTTTAGGTCTTAATCTAAGTCTAAGACTAAAGAGAAGACTAAGTCTAAAGGGAAAAAGTTTAGGTCTTAGTCTAAGTCTATGACTAAAGAGAAAATATCCAAATCTAAGTCTACGACTGAGACTAAAGTCTTAGTCTAAGTCTAAAACTAAAGAGAAGACTAAATGCAAGAGACCATTGTCTTGTGCTCATGCAGTGTGTCAGATTGATTGAGATAAGTGACTGTTTTGTAAAGCGCACATATAACATGTTGAAAATATATCTAGAATCTAGTGTGATTTAGCTCACCACCCAGACAGTACATTTGGAGACATTAAGAAGGTAATTTAATATTAGGAAGCAGCAGGACAGCAAGAACGCATGCACTCCCATTATTTATTGTGGAGGCTACCGTAAATCGTTAGCGATATGTATACATTTCTTCTATATGCCACTGCATCAATAAGCGATCAGCCGCGTAAGCTTCGTAAACATCGTGAAATACAGTCACTGTCTCGTAAATTGACAACGTCAGACTGCACATACTATTTGATTAGACTCATTTAATGGTTTCCAGTGTCATCATCACACTCTGTCTCATTACTGTTCACTGTGCTTCTATTACATTCTGCATTGGGATTTATAATTTCTTTGAGTCATTGCTGCTACTCTTTCATCCTGGCTTGAGATTATGTCATTCTGTGCAATTTCGCTACGTATTGTGATGGTTCTGTTTTATCCCGTGCTGTTATTATGCTCTTCTGTGATTGGTTGCTAACGTGTCGACGTCGTCGTGTGCTATCGCATTGCAGTCGACGCCAGCAGAGCGGGAACCGGAAACCTGGAGATTGTCATCTCGTGTGCGGACGTGAAAATCCCCAACTATGTGCAGAACGAGGGCAACGCACGGTACGTGCACACATACGCACGCACGCATACACGTGCGCACGCATACACTCATGCATGCATGTACACACGCACGCATACACTCATGCATGCATGTACGCACGCACACATACACTCACGCGTGCACGCATGCACGCATACACTCACGCACGTACGGACGCACGCACACATACACTCACGCGTGCACGCATGCACGCATACACTCACGCACGTACGGACGCACGCA